CTCTGCATCTGTGTTATCCACCTTTAAGAAACAATAAACCTCATTAGTAAACACACACACAGTCAAGGGGCTGTTTGGACCAATCACACGTCTTCATTTACCTGGATTGTCTTCCCGTTCTTGGCCGTGACAACATCGCCTGGTTTGGTGGCCTTCCCGCTGGGCATGTTCTCACACAGCGGCGCCAGACCTGCTCCGAGCACAAACATGGAGGATGTTGGTCTGGGCACAATAAAATGGAGGCATTGGCAGAAAGGAAGAAGAAGAAGCCCACCAACGATGTTCACCGGGAGCTTCAGAGCCGCTGCAGCAACGATGGAGGCGCAAACCGTGGCAGCTCCACCCATGTCGGCTCGCATTGCATCCATGGATTGAGATGGCTTTAGAGAAATGCCACCGCTGAACACACACACACACAGGGATCAGAGAAGGGCAAAGCTCACACACAGTCTACTAATAATGAGACGACATGATCATAATCAATATGAATCGTGACTGTGTTTCTGATGAACCTGTCGAACGTGATGCCTTTCCCCACCAGCAGCAGCGGCGGCTGCTGGCTGTCTGCTGAGCCGCTGTAGTGCAGCTCCAGGAAGACAGGGGGCTCCTCTGAGCCCCGCGCCACGCTGAGAAACGCTCCCATCTGCTGCTCCTCCATCCAGGCCTTTGATCTGCAGGTAAAATACATTAACATAAGTAAGTCATAATAATAAGTCTGGTTATGTGCTAAGTAAGAACTCGGCTTCTCTCTGCAATCGTCAATAATCATAATCTCACGAGAGACACTGGAAATATTTAACCACTAGCATCAGCATATTCTTAGTGACAGCAGCAAACAGTTGGTAACAAATAAACACAATAAATATAAAGTTACAAAGTAAAAAAAAGATTCATAAATAAATAAAGTAACTAAGTCAACACCTATAAGCAAATCATATTAATATCTCAATCATTAAAGTTAAGATAGTTGAGTAAATAACTAACTTAAAATGCAGATATATAAGCAAGGAAAGAAAAAACAGTTTGACAAATCTAAGTTATAAGTGGAAGAAGAAGTAATTTCATAAATAAGAGAATAAATGAAGAATTAGGGTATTTAATGAGTAAGCAAGAAAATATAGTACATAGAAAAGCAAATGTGCAAATAGGTAAAAGGTAAATTAGGATGCAAGTATAAAAACAAGCTAATAGGCATATACACACACACACACACACACATATATATATAAACTCTATTTTCTTCAATATTATATCATTATCAATATATGAATTGAAAATGGTCTCAAAAAACAATACTATCATCCATCACAATAATTTCTGGGACAATTTATTGTCCAGCAAAATTTGTTACAGTGACAAGCTTTTAGAAAACAACAAACTTAACTCATAGTCACCTGGGTTACAGAACCTTAGTAAATAAAACCACAAGTCAGAAATCTACTAAAAACAGACACAAAGTTTATTGTCCTTTTTGGTTTGATACATCCAAAAGGACAGCTTACAGGAAGTGAAGAAGATCAGAAACAAACCGTTTTTTGATGGTGACTCGTTCAGCGTACGGAGCCAGTTTCTCTTCGATGGTGCTGGCGAAGGCAGTCGGAGTGATCCGATTGGCCGGAGCTTCCATGAGAAAACGCGCCAAGTTTTGACCTTCTGCATAAATGACACCTTTCTTCCAGCCGTCCACGTCAGTGCTGGTGGAACACAGAGAGGGACTGTCAGTGACGCCAGAAAACCTGCAGACTGAGAAATACTCAAAATACAGAAGAGTAAAAAACTAAAATGTTCGGATGAATGTAAAAAAACTGAAAAAGAAAATAATGAAATAAAGAATCTGTACAAAGATTTTTTTCTTTTTAAAAAAAGGACAAAGAAAAAGATAGCTTGTGGAAGTGAAGTTGTAATAATGGGTGGTTAAAAAAAGATAAAAAGTGTTTTTTGTTGTTTTTTAGCTTTATGGAACCAAAATGTACAAGACAAACAGGTACTGCGTTAATAAACAGCACATTAAAAGTAATATGTAAAGAGTTCACTATGAAACAAACAGGACAAATTTAAGCAAGATAAATAGATACATGTTTTAAGGAAAGAAAAATACAATAAAAAATAGATTAATCAAGGAAAAAAGAAAAGATGAAAATCCATTTAAAAAAATTACTTATTTTTAGTAACAAACTTATTTTAAAAGTTCAGGTTACCTTCCATGTAGCTGTGAGGTCACTCTGGTCTTCTTCTTAGACTTCAGTTCATCATAGGAAAACAATCCCAGAACGGCGCCTTCTGCTGCCGACTTGGCGTCACCGCAGTCGTCCACCTCAACGTGACCCACCTCCAGTTCCTGGAGAGTCCGACAGCCAGCTGAACAAAAAGAATATGTACATATGCAAACATCAGTAAAACTATTTCTGAAACTGTATGTGAGATCAGACACCGGAGCGAATCGTACCAGACACGGCCTGTCTGATGTTCTCCTTCCTGCTGTCCCACTTCTCAGCCCCACACACTCCTTCACTGTCTTTGCCCAACCCGACTACTGCGACACAGGGGAAGTCCTGATGGAGATCAGAGCACGTTTTACTCTGTCGCCATCAGAAGACGGGGAGTGAAGTGTTAAAGCAGTGTTTTGTTACCTGGTGAATCCCATAGAACAGTCTACTTTTACCTTTCTTGAGGCCAGGTCCGGCACTGGGGGCAAAAGCAAAACATTTAAGGAAGACAATTTTGCTATGAGTCTTCATACTTTATTTTTATTTGTTGTTTTCTATATTTGGATGTTTCAAATGTCTTCCAGTTCCAGTGTTAAATTACCAATAGAATTTAAAGTTTATTGATCTTTGAGAATGTGTTCTTTCATCATTATTCTATAACAATTCTGCTACTTAAATAGCAACAATATTATTGATTATCGCAGTAACTTTAGGGACAATTTATCATCCAGCAAAAGTTGTTATGGGGACCCAATCCACCAGCATCACTGGAAAGTCAAAAACTGGCAATAACTCCAAAGAAAAATGTGACCATAAACTTTCTGGTTTGTTTAGTTGTTGCAGTAAAAGATGAGCTAGTTACTAGTTTTCTCCACTGCTATTCAGCTGGCTGAAAGATGTTCAACACACGTTCTCCAATGATCATGAGAAAGACACATTTGACTGTCTGAAGACAGCAGTCTTCCCCAGGACGTGCAAATCAACACAAGCTCATAATTAAACGCAAAAGCTCTAGAAATATCCCACTGTGCTTTTAATAAATCCAGACACCATTTTTACTTTTTAAAAATGAATCACCAGTTAACTTTTAATGGAACTCTATTTTACTGGGATGCCCAGGTAAACTGCTGATCACATCAGCTGACAGACAGAAGAACCAACTCACATTTTCAGCAGCTCTGAGAGCTTCCCAGACAGAGACTGGTCAAACTTGGCCGCTGCCTCCGTCAGGTGAACACCTTCTTCCTCTCCATCCTTCTCAAAGACTCCCAGGACCAGACCCTGCGCGCACGCACACACACACACACGCACGCGCGCGCACACACACACACACACACACACACACACACACACACACACATACACACTCACAGGTCCACACTGTGCTGCTGAGACTCTGAACCACTGAACACCTGGTAAACTACTCACCTTTCTCTCCTGCAGGTGTGTGTGTGAGGCAGAGAACGGCCTGCAGAGATGTTTCCTCGCGGCCGCCTGCGCTGCTTTCCTCACAACAAGCATTGTCACCTCCTCAACATGTAATTATCTGAGTTAATATCCTAGTTTTCCCTCACGGGAAGGTCAGGCGCTTCTCATGCGGGAAAGGAAGGCAGACGACCCCGTCAGAGTCGCGTTAAAGTGACGTCAACGACGAGATAGGACGACGGGGATTTTGTCGCCCCCTAGCGGCAAAAATGTCACTGTCTGTCCTGTGGAGTAAAAAGTGGATTTAAATGCAACGCTGATCGTTCTAGTTACACGTTAATTGCTACTCAGTGTAAGTTATTATGTAAATTTACAATAAAATGCATAAAAGTTTAATTTGACCAAATATGGAAAATGTTATAGGCCTGTCTGTCACGATACCAAATTCTGATGAAAAACTGCCCCAGTAATTATTGCAATAAACAATATATTGTTGTTTTAAGATCATTTTCAAGAAATATGTTAATAATAGCAAAATAATGCAGTTTGCCCTGTGAACTTGGGCCTGACACTGGAACTGAAAAATATGTTAAATATTCTAAACAAAACACAATGAAAGACAAATGAAACAGAAATATAAGATACACACACAACTGAAACCAAAATTGAAATGGATCCATAAATAATTTTTTCTTTAAAAAATTGTTAATCGTCACAGTTGAAGTTACTGAAGTCATTTTAATTTATCATACAACAGGCTTATTTATCTATGGATACTGTAACATGGGCCTAAGTGAATCATATCTGTAATTACATGCAATCTTACATTAAAAAAAATTTTTTTTTGGTTAATTGTTTCAAGTTTATTATTTGCATTGGGTGACTTCCTAAACAAAAAGAAAACTTCCTGCACAAACTTAGGTCACCTTAAACAGTTTCAGAAATGTCAGACTTTACTATAAAATTATCAAAGTTCTTGACTTGCATAAAGATTCATAAATATCTACTGCTTAGAAACCAAAAATATTTTTTTCCCATTAATGCTTCTTGAACAAATGCAAAATTAATTCAATGGCTCCAACAGGCAGTCATACAGAGTAACATAAAGCCTTAAAAGAGGCTTTGAATAAGAACCAAACACACAAAAAGGATCAGATAACTATGGATGATATTTTAAAAATCTGTAATTTACATTCTGTATGTACAATGAAAAAAATTAATCGCATATTTACAGACATTTATTTACTACATGAACTGAATTTACAGTAGGTACTGAACGTAAAATGTTCAGAGAGATTCTGTTGGACCACTGTTCATCGTCCACCAAACTAAACCCAACAATAAATCCCTCTGTCAGAACTGGACAATTTGGCTTTTTCATCAATTATCTATTTAGAACCAATGAGAACAAATAAACATTAAGGTCCTTTAAAATCTGTTTTCAGTGAAGATGAGTGTGAAATAAGTCCAGCTTGTATAAAACAGCGTCATCACAAATGTCAGCAAGTGTTTTTTTTTCTTTTACACGCTAAAAGCAGAAGACACAACCAATAACTCTTTTTCTGTGGGTGTGTGTGTGTGTGCGTGTGTGTGTTCTTTAGTAGAGCAGGTCCAGGGCAGAGATTGTGGGCTCCTCCGGCTTCTTGATCTCCGGTTTGGGCAACTTGATGCGACTCATAGCGACCACGCCACAAACGACAAAGTGAGTCCCAACGCTGCCAACTCCCAGCCAGAAGGACCAGTCCAGGCTATCATCCAGAACCTCCAGGACAAAGAGCTTCTCTCCATGGTTTGCCACCCGCTCAGACAAACGATGGTGCTTCAGGGCTGCCAGGAAACAAAGAACCCCCAGAGCGCCAAAAAGAGCTGCAAACAGAGGAAAGTACTTAATTTTTCTTCAATTTAAATATATATATTTATCATATGGCTTTTTTTATGTTTCATTTAGGTGAATGGCTTCTTCCTCACTGAGTGTCCTTTAGGCCTGTGTCAGTACAGGACATGTTTCACTGTGGATAATCACGCTGTGATACCAGCTTCAGCTAAATGAGCTAAAGATCAGGAAGATGGCAACGTGGCCTTCATCAATCATCATATATCAGTGAAACATGCAGAAAGCTAGTCAGCAACACTAAGAAGCGTTTGATTATTGTAATGATATTAAAATTTGTTTTCATGAATTATTAATTAGTAATATTCTTTTTAATGAATACGCTCTTTACATCACTTTGGATTGATGATCACCTTATTTTATATTAGACACAAACCACTTGATTGAATCATTTTAAACCTAAATATTCAAGGGATGAAAAAACGTTTGGGCTTAATTGTTAGAAATTTAGTTAAGAAAAATTGTAAAGATAAATAAATAAATAGCACAAAAAAGCCTAAGAAAGGCAAAACATGTTGAAGCAAAGCTGAAAAATGCAGTGTTTTTACCAGCAATGAAGTTCCATAGGTAAAGTCCTTTGTGCCCTTTGATGCTCTGGTAGGGGACCTTGCGAGCGTTGTAAATGCAGAAGGACAAGCTGACCAGGGCGAAGCCAACCGCCACCAGCAGGAAGAGAATCACCATCATGTGAAGACCCCCATTCAGTGTCTGCACCAGCTTTGGAAAAACTGCAGAGGCGCACAGAGCAGAGGGATAAACTTAGGGAAGAAAACCTCAGAGCCTTTCTTTATTTTACTTGGGTATTTATTTTCTGTCCGGAAGCATTTGACAGCATATTCTTAATTGATAATCACTTAACTTTAATCTGTGAGGCATTTATGTGAAAAAACCTTTTTCTCATTTTCTACATGTTCAATCAGAGATGAATAGTGAAAAAAGTACTATTCATCTACTTAAGTAAGAGTATCATTATTTTGACATATTTCTATTTGAGTAAAATTACAAAAAACAGTTTACTCAGCTTTATTAAAGTTTTGTTTTACATTAAAATACTTTTTTTTATCTGATTTTACTATTTTGTAATTCTGTTATTTACATGAATTATTCCCATTTTGGTCCTTAAAATACCAACATGTCGATTTCACTTAACATTTTGATGATGTCATTTTTAAATAGCTATTAAATGATGATTTGATCAGTTATGGCCTTTTTACCAAACTCTTGAGGAATTTCTTGGGTGGCTACTTTTTATTTTAACTTGAGTAAAGCTGAAGTTGTGCTCCTCTACTTGAATGTGTATATTACTGGTTCTCTTCAGGTCTCTCAGTCACAGTCACTTTGTCTCTTACTGTATATTTTGGAGCGCCTGTTCCCCAGTCCGCACCTCTTGGTCTTTCCTCCCTGGAACAAACCGTAGTAAATGTCCCCGATAAACTGGTCCATCTCCGGACTGGACGCGTTCACTATGTCCACCCCGGTTTTACACAGGATCCGCCCGATAACCCAGCGCTCTGTGGCCAGGGCCACCACCAGGAGGGCCACCGAGCCGACACACAGCGCCGAGGCCACCGAGAATGTTACTCGTTTCCACAGAGAAGGCATCTTACGAGCCCATGGTGCCCCGGGGAAGGTAAGAGGTCGCCGGGCAGCGGCCGCGGGGCGCGCTCGGTGATCACCATGGGTTTACGCAGCGGTTCATCGTCTCCTCTCGGCTCGGGAAGAGAGAAGCTATGGAGCGCGGGGCCCGGCGTGATGTTGCATGTATTCATGTGTAAGTCACACGGGAGGAGAAATTGAATCTATGGGCGTCAGGGAGATCTCTTACCGGGAGAAACTCTATCCGCAAACCAGTTTCTGCGCGCGCATGCACGAACACGCGCGCGCGCGAGCACGCACACATTTATGCACGGGAGAAATTAACCTTTTCCAACTCCAGCTTTGAATCAATCATTTCTTATGGCTTATAGTCTGAGCTGCTCAGCCAGCTGTAAAATTAATAAACGCATTCCTAAAACCAAATGACAGATGTGGTTGATACAGCAACGACCCTAAAGGTCAACAACGCTTCAACTCAACATGTTGGCCTGAATAATGAATAATCACTAAATACTTTCTATCATCAGTCAGCACAATATTTTAGATGCAAGATTTTGAGGTTTCTGAAAAGACCTGATTTTCCCACTTCTATGGACCTTTGTGTTATTGTTTCCTACTTAAAAATGGGAACTTCTCATTCTTTCTCCTATAAAACTGTACTGTTGTTTTAAAATGTCAATCAGCTTGGCAGTATTTTAAAATTTAAGAATACTGAATTAATTGACAGCTTCTGCATCAAGCCAGCATTAGGAATTTGTATTACAAAGAAAAGTATGTTCTCTTATATAAATGTAAAACCTAATATTGTCTATTAAGAATAATAAAAAAATAAAGCTTTGAATTTTTAAAGTATGTGTTCATAATACAATATTTTTGGAAGGATATGAACTACATCCCCATGTTTACCTGTGTGCAATATGACTTAAAATTATATCAATTAATTTATTGATATAGTTAAATTTCATACCATTAGTAAATTATTTCTTTCTCACCAATATTTCTCTTTTACATAAAGAGAAATATTATGATTTTTGTTCCTTTTTGTTAAAGAAAATATATTGAGAGGTAAACAATAAACTACACATTCTAATGGTCATCGTCATGGGGAAAGAAACACTTTTCTTTTCTGTCTATATTTATTAGGACAAAGACCCAAGAAGATGTAAGACCAAAATTGAGCAAAATAAAAGCAAAATTTCCACTGAACACTCTAAAACAGCTAAACCACTTCTTGGTCACTGATCATTGGTCAATTGTAAACACTGACTGTTTTCATTTGAGGAGCTAGAAAGTCCTATATGGGCAGAAAAATCCGCCCAAATTAGGGTGTATTTTGGTCAAACGAACTGTGAGCTGTCATCGGGTTTTGATGATGCAAATAGAAGCCAACAAATTCTTTGGCGACACCTTCTGGTGAAATGGTGAAGGTACGGTGCGTGGTGACGTCACGGCGCGTTGCGCAGTCTCCCTGGCAGCAGCTGAGGCCGTTTTGTCGAAGATGGCGGATTCGCTGTCGACAGGTCTGGTAGAGGAGAAAGAAAAAGAGAAGGAGGACAGCGGGAGAACCACCAAGGCCGCTAACGCGGACCAGAATAAAAAGAAAGACGGAGTTACTGACACGCCGGGGTTTCATGATAAAAATGGTGGCGCTAGAGGCCAAAAAGGCAACCTGTCAGGTGAGAGTCAGCCTGGCTTCTACAATTTTACTAAACAAACAGACTGCTGGAGCTGTTGTTTCTATTTGTTAACAAGCATTTACACGCATATTTGCTCCTTTCATTATAGCAAAGACCTTTAGCTCGCAGTTTAAATGAATTTCAGTGACGTGGAGCTGTGCAGCAGTGTCTAGTCAGATGCAGCAGTTGTGTTTACAACACAGATTGACCAAAACAATACGAAGACATATCCGGTGGCGATGCACCTGAGTGTTATGTAATTTATCACAGCGGTTATTGGTGACAAATTGATGTAAACGTGCAGGACAGTCTGCTTGCTTCTTCGTTTAGCTGGACGTAGATACATTGCGCAGGCGCATTAGCAAGCTTTTGCACAGCGTGTTTATGTGCAGTGTTAGTTTTTATTAATTGCAGAAAATAGTATGAATCAACGAGTGGTTATCAGTGTTCTTGTCTATGAATTTCGTCTGTCCAAAATCGGAGTGAAATTGCTGCTTTCCTTCCATTACACCTTGTAATTCTGTGACAGGCGTTGCTTTGTCTGTGTGGTTTTTTTCCTCAGGTTTCTTTACAAGGTCCAAAAACTACAGCGTGCATTGTCTACAAAATTGAGTTCGTGAATGCACACAATGTATTGAAATATCATTTATGTATATATATTCATATATATATATAAGTATATGTATGTATGTGATTCAGAAACCAATCTTTCTATTCAAATGGTCTAGAGATTATGACATTGTGTTTAAGTTATGTGACTAAAAATGGGAAAAGTCGGTGTAAACAAATCTAACATTAATTTGAAACAATGCTGTAAGGTTCTGCTCTGTATCAAATTCCATCAGTTTATATTTAAACAAAAATAGGTTGGGAGAAAAAATTCTGTAACGAAAATGAGCAGTATTTAGGTTAGTTTGCCTGCTTGGCTTTTCTGAAGTAAATATAAAACAAGAATTATTCAAAATATAGTGTTTTACTTAAAAATCTAATGTTTTACTGAAAACTAAGAAGGCTAAAATCAATCTTTGAGCATTTTGAAATGTTTCTGAATTCCTAGGCCTATGAATTGCAATTTTTATAATCAATTTATTTTGTTTCTGCACCTCCACTCCAAATCTAGTAAAATTTATTTAATTTCTAATGTCCATTTTTCTTCCTTTAATTATTTATATGTTTGTGATTACTTCCAGATCTGTCTCTGGTCAGATTCATAACCACTGAGCTAACCAGAGGCTACTTTCTGGAACACAATGAGGCCAAATACACAGAGCGCAGAGAGAGGGTCTACACCTGCCTCCGCATCCCCAAGGAGCTGGAGAAGGTAAACACACAAGTTCCAGAGAAATCCATCATTGATCACTCCCACCAGAGTTAGACATACACATTTACATGTCTGTCGGCTCTCTCCTTGCAGCTGATGACTTTCGGCTTCTTCCTCTGTCTGGATACATTTCTGTACGTGTTCACCTTGCTGCCGCTCCGAGTGATTCTGGCCCTTTTACGACTCCTCACTGTGCCATGCTGCGGCCTCGGGTAATCTGCACTAATAGCTGTGGGGAGTGAGACAGGTTGAAGCCAAACTCAATGGGTAACTAAGAAGATACTAAAGTGAAAACAGATATAGATGTTTAAAGAGGCCGTCTTATGTTAAATCACATTTTTCTTTTGCTTGTTCTAATGTTATCTCCTGAAGTGTTGCCTTGATTCTTTCATGCTTGTTTGAGAAATCCTTTAATCTCCATGGCTACCATTCAGCTGTGCAATGGGGGGACTGAGCTCCGCCTTCAAGAACCCAGTTGCAGGAAGCTTCCAAGCCTTTGCCTGATAGAGCAGCTCAGCTCCTATAGACTAGCACATAGCAATTAGCAAACACCTGATGGAACTGCGCATCTGCTGAGCTCATACAAACTACGTGTTTGTGAAATGCTGGTAAAAATGTTGTTAAAGGGTTAATAGAGGAGCCATGTTGTGATGACTTCCTGGATGCAGAGTTTCAGAAAGAGCAGGAGTCTTTAAAGATACAGAGGGCCAATTTTAAGGCATTAAATTACAAAGTCAAATTTCTTTTAAGTCATATTTAATATATATTTAGCATCTTTATGAAATGGCAGTATGTGCCTACAAAACACATAATACTGCCCCTTTAATAAAAAAAAATAGAACAGAAGATTAAGTGATGCTGTAGGTTTGAAATGTTATTATACATCTGCAGTTATATAATTTGCAGATGATTTTAAATACAAATTTATTGAAAATTTGCCACATATTGTCTTGTCACAACTCAATGATTGGACCTCAACATTCCTGGTCTAGCACATAAAATGCTATTCAGATACGTTTAAGTTGGCAGGGATAACATGAGCACGTGTGGAAAAACTCTAGCACTCCAGGTACTTTTGCAAGGCAGAATCATTTATAGTTATGAAGGGGATTCCTTTACATTATAAGAATTTAGGAAAGTATTTCATTGTCAGGTCTATATTTTATTTGTTTGATTAAATCTAGTATCTATATGACTTGTATTATTTAATAGTTGTAAGTAAAAACCCATTGAAATTTTGGGAATGTTTTCCTGTGGCGATGATGGTTTTAACCACCAGAGGGCAGCAGATTTCTACACGACTCATTCAGTTTGATTGGATAATAGTAAACAGCATTTTGTGGATCTCGTGTTTTGGATTTTAGTCTGGATGTTCCCCATTATGTAATATTCTGTTTCCTGTAATGTTTTCTTGGCTCCAGCGGCTCCCGTTTGCTGCAGCCTGCCCAGGTGTGCGACGTCCTGAAGGGCTTCATCATGGTGTTGTGCTACTCCATGATGAGCTACGTGGATTACTCCATGATGTACCATCTGATCCGGGGACAGTCCGTCATCAAACTTTACATCATCTATAACATGTTGGAGGTAGAGTCATATGGTTGTCTCTGGGTTCTGGCTTTGTCAGCTGATTTCACATCCACCCACTGTTTTGCCGTCTGTGCTTTCCGACAGGTTGCCGATCGTCTCTTCTCGTCGTTTGGCCAAGACATCCTCGATGCTCTGTACTGGACCGCCACCGAGCCCAAGGAGAAGAAGAGAGCACACATAGGAGTGATTCCTCACTTCCTCATGGCTGTGCTCTACGTCTGTATCCTCACTGGGACCGACCTATGAGAGTGCAAAACACCGAGATGAAAACAGAATGAATGACAGTGATATTTGCCAGACTGAACTCCATCTGGATTACTAAAAATAACAATCTTTATGTTTTTGTTAGTGGACTAGTTGTCCAAAGGACAGTTTGAGTGCAACAGTTTAGAATCACACACCAACCTTTCATTACTGAATGCAGTGGAACATAGCTGGAGGTTTTCAGTTTGTATTATTGAAGCCAAATGATCATGTTCTCATTCTTTATTCTACATATTGGGTTGTCACAATGGAGCATGTTCATCTGTTTTACACCATTTAAGGGTTCAAAAGTCTGGAAAACCAGAACACTATATGTCAGAGTTACATCTGAGTATGATTGGAAAAGGATAACAAATATGGAAACATTTATTTCCCATATTCATTCATTCCTTCCTTTGTTCCTTCATTCCTTCCTTACTTCTCTCATTTTTTCATTTGTTCTTTCTTTATTTTCTACTCTTTCCTTCCTTCTTTCTTTTCTTCCTTATTTCCGTCTGTCCGTCCATCCATCTATTCATAGTAAACTTTTGTATTTAGAATAAGTGTTACTGATAGGACTCATCTTGTATTTGACCTCAAACCTGTTTTCCTCAGCTGTTATTGATCTAGTCCTTCATGCCATTCTCATCATGGTTCAGGCTACTACACTGAATGTAGCCTTCAATTCCCATAACAAGTCTCTGCTCACCATAATGATGTCAAACAATGTGAGTGTAATTGTTTTCAATATTTACTCTTAAAACTGGCTGCAGCGGAACCACTGAAGCGCTGATCTTGTTTCCCCAGTTTGTGGAAATCAAAGGAAGCGTGTTTAAAAAGTTTGAGAAGAACAACCTGTTTCAGATGTCCAACAGCGGTAAGTCGGAAGCCATCGGAGCCTCTGCACTAAAATCACACTTTTGGGATATTTTTATCCTCCCCTCTTTAACCTGATTTAATCCAAGGTAAATTTCTGGGATCGCGCTGAGCGGCAATGGGCAGAAAGTAGGTTAATCCAGGCTTGATTTGTTTTGTTTCCCACAGACATAAAGGAGAGGTTCACCAACTACATCCTCCTGCTCATTGTCTGTCTGAGAAACATGGAGCAGTTTTCATGGAATCCCGGTAACTAATACCAGCTGAGAATGTATGCTGCATGACACGGCTCCCAGCGCAGATTGGTTTTCCTTCTGCTTTAGCCCATAACACAAATTTCCTTTCTCTTCAGCCTACATATCTGAATAATTATACTGATTTCAGCTTCCTGTGTTTGTTTTAGACCACTTTTGGGTCCTGTTCCCAGACGTAGTCATGGTGATCACATCAGAGGTGGCAGTGGACGTTGTCAAGCACGCCTTCATCACCAAATTCAATGACATCAGTGCTGACGTGAGTCTCCTAATGTCTCTTTCACAAGTTATTTACACTCACTGATAAAAACAGTTAAATCATATTTAAATCATTGGAAAATGATTTGATTCTCAGGGATCTGGTATGTGTAGAAATGGCACCAGATGGTGGCGTGATAGCGTTAAAGGCACTTTCTGGAGCGTCTGTCATTTGTCATATAAATGTGCAATTTGACCTGACAATTTTGTGTTTGGCCAAAACACTCAGCTTCTCACCAATGCCTTCCGTTTTTTGTTTCTGATAACATAAAAAATAAAATGGGATATCCAAAATCAGGGATGTCTTGATAGGGCTTTTTTTTTTGCCACAAGAGTCCTTTGATTTAGTGTAAGGGTGGTTTTGTCCATAGCAACCCAAGCAAAGCTCCAGCACGTTTGGTCAGCTGTATGCGCTGTACAATGGCTGCTCGAAAACAAAAGTGTTTTGTTGTTGATTTACCATCCAGAAACCAGTTGCTGCATTCTTGTTACTGGTTGTCAAAATGTAATGAGGTGTATTTTATCACTCAGGCGTTTCTTTATCCCAAACCCCAAAAGCTCAACCCGACCTGGATCATTTTTGTCTTTGTATTTCTTCTCCTCTTCCACCTTCCGCAAATGTTCTGTTTCCTCTCTCTCACTCATGCATATTTGAGTCTGAAACAGAATCTGCCTGCAGCTGAGCCTCCTTCTTTCCGTTCATTTCAACGTTAGTGGTTAACACCTCCTTCCTTCCTCAGCCTGGTTTCTGTTAAAGCAGGAATTTACTAGATTATTTCACACTTATGACTCAAACCACGTTTTTTCTTTTTTTGCTGTTGTCGCAAGAAACTTCTCTCTGCGATCACTTTTTGGACACACATACCTTCTGTCGGCTCCTTTAATGGAGAATTTGGTTATTTATGGGTTTGTTGACTGAGAACTATCAATTCTCTCTGCTTGGGTTCCCAGGTTTACGGAGAATACAGAGCCAGCCTCGCCTTCGACCTCGTCAGTAGCCGACAGAAAAATGTGAGTTGAATTAGACTTGAATTAAACAACTTGAATTAGACTGACATTCAAATGTTTCTCTTATCGTAGGGATCATTTTGGATCATACTGTATTTGTGGAGAGGTGGCATAATAACGGACCTCTCAGTATTAGTTGAGGAGCAAAATGTGAATTGGGGGCAGTGAAAACATTCTTGCATTTCTGTGGAGTTTAGATATTTCACAGCCAGTTATATTGATGGTATGATTCCCCTATATCAGTTTTTGCAATTATTTTTATTGCCACTAATGGACTCTAAATACATGCAGAAAATGTGTACTTTTAGGTGGTAAGAGTTATTGAAGTTATTGAATTGATCAAGTTTAGATAAATTCCAGTCAGAGGTCTCGCTAGGCTTTTTCACTTTCTGTCATTTTGACCAACAAAATCCCCTCATTTTCTGTATTTGCCTGCCAGTTTTTAAAATGATGGTAATGACATATTAAAATGCATAAAGTTTTATTTGGATTAATTAATATTCATCAGCCTCGAAAAGGGATGATTCGCTAAATGTGCACAGCCTATGTATACGCAGCAAAAAATGGACAGATGGTTTTTCTTTCTACTTTTATAAACCACCAGAAATACCAACACGGGTAAAATGATGTTTTATTGCAAAACACTTACAGCTGAAACTGCTTAGGACGTTTATTCTACAAAGTACCGTCTGAGGCAGGAGACTGAATACGAACACAACACACCTTTCAAATGTTTACTGGTGAAAACGTAGAAAGATATTTATTAATTTCTTTCTCTTTCATAATGAAGCACTGCATGGTTTTGGTTCATCATATAATTTCCCATAAAATGCACAGATATTTGTGGTTATAATTTAACAAATGAGGGCAAAACTTGTACTATAAAACTATTGCAATCCTGTTAGGAACAACTTTAAAAAGCTGCATTAATGTTTTAACCTGTATTTGATTGATATTAAATACAGTTGCATGTTTCAGATTGAATTTTTATCTTTTTTCTCACGTTTCTGTCCAGCAGAACAGAGTTAGATTTGTCTTTGGAGTCAGAAGTTAAAGGAGACTTTTTTGTTCTGAAAATGTTTGCAGGCTTACACCGACTACAGCGACTCCGTATCCAGAAGAATGGGCTTTATTCCACTTCCTTTAGCTCTGCTGGTCCGTCATTTGATACTTACACGTAAACATAGAGCATCATATTACATTGCTAAGGTGTTGCATGGTTCCAGCTGTTTTTTACTGTTTCTTTTTTCAGCTGATCAGAGTGGTGACGAGCTCAGTGAAGATCCAGGGTTCGCTCTCCTTCATGTGTGTGCTGCTGTTTTACTTGGGGTAAATATGACACGTGACGTTGTTGCTTGTTACGCTTTCGCACGTTTGCGTTGTACTCTCATATTTTTTTGTCACTGCGAGCAGGATGATCACGCTGAAGGTGCTCAACAGCATCGTTCTCCTTGGAACATCCTGCATGTTTGTCAAAGAGGCCAAGATGGAGGAAAAGCTGTTTGACCCGCCTCCATCTGTCGCCTCCAGCCGTGCTAACTCCAGAGCCAACCGTAGCAGAAACACTCACACCTCGCCGCTGCAAGGTTAGACAGCTGCTCTCTGGGTTATACAGCAGTGCATGCAATTAAAAGGGCAATCTTCCTCCTCTGGGATTCCGTCACTCAGCTCCTTCCGACTGTCCATCCATTCATTTTCTTACACCCTTGTCCCTTGTGGGGTCAGGAGGAGTGCCTCCAGTGAGACATTCCTGGCAAGACAGGTTGCTAGTCCACAGAGACAGACAGGACAAACACACTTAAGGAGAATTTAGAAAGACCAATTAAATCGGGCAGTCATGTTGGAGAACGACCCCGGGCCGGGAATTGAACCCAGGACCTTCTTGCTGCCAGGCAACAGTGCTACCAACTGCACCACTCTGCAGCCCATTCCTTCAGACTAGCCAGCAGCAATTAGCAAACACCTGGTGAAACTGCACATCTGTTGAGCTCTTCACAGGAGCTACTTCTAAGTGAAACCCTGGTAAAAGGATTGTTAAAAGCTTAATAGAGGAGCCATGTTGTGTTGATTTTCTGGAAAGAGCAGGACTTTCTTAAAAAGACAGAAGCCCAATTTCAAGGTGTTAAATTACGAACTGAAGTTTTGTTTAAGACATATTTGACATGCATCTATATATAATTGATATCAAAAGTCGATATATATAATACTGCGCCTTTAAAATTTCTGATTATTTTTACTAACTTGAAAAAGTAGAGTGTCAATAAGAAAATGATTCATTATAATTTGTTTTGATGGACCTGTTAGACTCATCAGTATTTGTACCAAAAGCTGTTAATTTTCTTACTTTCTCCACTTAGATGTACTCATATTGAAGAGGTTTTGTGTCGTGCGAGAGAACGCTACTGCTACAAAACCTGAATTCTATCAAGTTTCTTTTTTACATGTCTTTGTTTACGTTAAGATATTTGATAACCTACAGCTACCAAAGGAATTTCACATTGTGAGAATTTCTCTGCCATTAAATTCTTAAACACTTTCTCATCAACAGAGCCGACGTCAGACAGAGCAGGAGTACCACTGACACCGGGCGTTTCTCCACCCACAGAGAAACCAGAGGGCACCTCCTCTGCCATCCCAAAGAGCGACTCGGACACATTCCTGACGACGCCGGACGAGGACGACGAGGACAAAATTCTAAACAATGACATGGGACTGGAAGGAGACGGACTCAAACACAGAACGCCCAAGAAAGACTTGCTGGAGATAGACCGATTCACCATCTGTGGGAACCGAATAGACTGACCATCGAAGGGAACCCCAGCCCGTGTCCAGGGATCTGACGAGGGTCACGGAGTTCGCTCAGGCCCGACTCGCACTTATGCACCTGACTCTCTGAGTATTTATTTATTTATTACTGGCAAAAACCAGCCAAGGCATCAAGCTGTTACATCAGACGTTTCCAGATGGGTGCTGCAGGAACACCAGGAAACAACCAAACAGAGAATAAAACCACTGAAAGGAAATCCAGTCTGGATTGTTGGAGCATTGCAACTGGACTGTGAGGTTGTGTGTGTTTCAGAAGCACAATTATTCCCAGGACAAAGAGTTTTTTTTTTTTTAAATAGAACAAAAGTTGTCAGATGTCGACTTTTTATTTAAAAAAAAATCTGACAAGTTTAACTCTTTAAAGTATGTTTTTTTTATTTGAAAAATGTTGGATGTTTTTTCTGGATTTGAAACCTTCAGCTACCACATAAAGGCATTCTGCAGACACTGGCGCCAACACGTTCATAAGGAGTGACGCAAACAAGCATCAGCGCTCATCGGCTTCATTTTTCTGGGGCATGTTAGTGTGAAATCGTCTGTGTGGGTCTTCTCTTTCTTTTAATATCATTGGGAGGACTGTGTGAAGGCGTGTGAAGATGCAGGTGATTTTTTAAAATTTTATTTTAAGGGGCGATTTCGTTTTCCAAAGTCGTGTAACTATGGCACTAACATCGTCGTTGAGTATGTTGGAAACGTTGATTTACCCTTAAATTTGTGACTTGAATTCCTGCTAAAAGAAATGAATAACTTTGGTTTGGGAGCATTTCATTTGTTCAAATGAAATGCAGACATGAACTCCATTCATGTCTGCCGTGGCTCACCGGCTCTGATTTGTGAAGAGAGGTGTCCTGTTAATCAGCTGTTTGTGAACCAGTTGACCCAAATTGCTGCGAAATTTGCTGTTAATCAGTTGATTACGTGAAGCCGCCACAGGCGTTTCTGTTTCCTCTCATTTACCACCATCAGTTCCTGCGTTCAGCAAACCGATGAACACGCGGCTGAAATCTGACCATTTTAATACCAGTGACATAAAAACAGGTCTAAACTATGTATAACCTTTAACTTTTTTACTTTTATCATGTCACACTTGGATTTTCGGGGGGCAGTAGACAAACATAATTGTGAATTAACAGGGGAAAAGTTAAAGTTTTTAAAGGGACAATTTTTTGTAAAATGAAACTTTTTAAGCTTAATAGAGGATCCATATTGTGATGCCTTCCTGAAGGCGGAGTTTCAGACAGAGCAGGCGTTTCTTAAAGAGACAGACGCCAAATTTCAAAGTATCAAATTGCGAAGTCAAATTTATTTTAAGTCATATTTGAATATGACTTAAAACAGATCTTTTCTAACAACTGAAGGTAACCGAGTTACTCAGTTGTGCCACTTTTTGCCTGGAAAATACATAATACTGTCCCTTCAACATTTTTTGCTCTAAACAAAATAGAAAAGTGTGACTTGCGTTTGTCTTCAGCCCCACAGAGTTAAAACTTTTAACTCTGTGCCCCACAGAGTTAAAATATTTGCAGATCAGTTTAAATTTATTCATGGATGGAGAAACTCTAAACAATCCATTTTGTAGTCCTGCCACAGATTCACAATTGACATAGTGGTTTCTGGAACATATTTTTATCCTTACCTCACTGTGATGCTGCCTTCAAACTTCAAAAATACATATAAATTCTGCAGTAACTTAAAAATTAGTTGCTCTTTTCGCTTTACAATCATGCTGTTGGTCTGATACATGGAATCCCGAATTAAACACACGTAAGTACGTGGCTGCAGTGTGACTAAAGGTAGTTTTGAAGTATTAGTTATTTTTGGATGGCTGTGCATTTATATATTTCAAATAAATATTTTTTCTAACAGCAGAACATTACTAACTGAGAATTGAGTTTGAGAGGTAGAAATAATCTGAGTTAATCCAAGTCAACACAGACCATCTGAAACTTCCCAAAAATGTAAACAAGTGTGAGAGGTCATCTCTGATTAGTGGACAACAGGGTGAAAGACAAGTGATCAATTTCAATGGATTATACATCTGATAGGATATTCAATTTGTTTTTTGCCATGATCTATTTCTGTTGTCTAAAACAATTTTTTTTCCAGGAAGATAATGATCTAGAATATTCACTGAACTCTGATCCAGAACCACACAGCATCCTGGGAGATGTAGGGAGAGGAAAAGCTTTAGCTGCTCAAGCTGTCACAGTGAGCTAAGCAAGGCTGGTGGGCTCAACTAACTCACTCGCTCTTTGGTTACCTAGCAACAACCTGCGGATTAACTTGCACAGCAGCACTTTCAAATTTCTCCGTCGTACTTAAAAATAAAAAACAACAGTGTCCAACATTCCAACTAGATAAATCAGGAAAGGTCACACCAGCAGCTTGGCAGTTTCTCAGACATATTAAACAAAAAAAATGTCTGTCAATAATGATCGATATTGACGATTGTTGATATTGGCTGATATAAAACATGTATGTTGTGAAAGGGTTTTTAGGCATGTTGTGCAGCCCTCACTTACAGGCCTCCGTGTGTAAATCTGACATTTTGAGGTTTAAGTCTTTTATGATGGAAGGAGAATAAACTGAGTTTGTTTTGCAGCCGTTTCTGGTGTGATGTGAGTGAAAGCAAGGGAGGACTCAGTGCAGTGAAAGGACTCAGTGCAGTGAAAGGACTCAGTGCAGTGAAAGGACTCAGTGCAGTGAAAGGACTCAGTGCAGTGAAAGGACTCAGTGCAGTGAAAGGACTCAATGCAGTGAAAGGACTCAATGCAGTGAAAGGACTCAGTGCAGTGAAAGGACTCAATGCAGTGAAAGGACTCAGTGCAGTGAAAGGACTCAGTGCAGTGAAAGGACTCACTGCGCTCTCTGTTAACAGTGGAAACACAGCGGCCCACTGTCTGCCTGCACAGACTCTGAAGGCTCTCTGTCATCACATACTTACATTCACATTGGCATTTTCTTTTCTTCCCTTCTTCTCCTTCTTTCCAGTTTCATGAGACATCAAAAACTTGGATCGTCATTAGCGAGTTGACCGTCATATTTCACAGTGACATCCAACCGGTGAAACGACAGGTCCAGCTTTTTTGTGGGAAGAAATAAGCGTCAAGTTTCCCCCAGAACTATCAGTCTGTAAGTCAGCCCAGACCGGTAAAATGTCTGGGTTTCCCCTTGCTGTTTCTCACAAGCTTGTGTTTCTTACGCAGACAAAAGCTCTGTAAGAAAAAGGAAAAGTTCTGGTTGCAGTACTTTTTCTTTTTTAATCAAAGTTATCCAAACCCTGCTTTGCAGAGACGTGGTGGTCCAGATACATGTGTCATATTGTGCAGATGTTTTGAGCCTCCCCTGGTTTTTATATTTGGCCTCAAGCAGGCTAACTGTTTTTTGTAACAATCTGCTCTGATGGTGAAGAGTTTTTGCACAAAACTGTGAGTGCCCTGCCATACTTAATAAAAAAGAATTTGTGCAAGTCTTTACTTGACCTCAGATTGCTCTGAATTTGTGGTGGTGTTTTATTTGTGCATGTATTGACACTGCATGGTAGACTTGATCTAATGGATTGCAAACATGACCCATCGCTACAGCCTCCGTGCACTGAGATTTTTCTGAATATTTCCATGTTTCTTCATGTACAACAGTTTGGTGACAAAATCCTTTCCTGCTTGCAGACGTATGAATCTGTCCGAAACCACAGAGAAACTGGAACATTATGATCTAGAAAAGTAAGCTTTAGACAGCTTGTAGAACAAAAGCAGCACAATGTAGCAAATAATCACACCAAAGCAAATTCCTGCAACATTAGACTGTAGGCTTTAGAAATATAGGTTGAAAATAATCTTAACGTGTGAAACAGCTGTTTAGTTTTTTTTTTCTCCAATAAGAAAAATATAAGAAAATTAGTAATTGTTGGCAAACTTGTTTCTTCTTATTTGCTTTGAATAACTTTTTCCCCCTGAGGATTTGAAAATGCATGTCTTTCTATCTGCTCAGCTCATCTTTGATACTAAATGTTTTCTGTCTCCATCATCAAGTGGACGCTCCGGGTCACGCGCCGCAGATGCGCGCATCGAATTTTCCAGCGGGCACGAGCGCGGTTGAGCCCTTTCTGTCCGTGCACGTGTGAGATTAGGCTGCTCTGAGCTCGCGGTCGGTCCGGTGAACGCGAGGACACCGGCTGGCAGAGTGAGAACCCCACACACCGCGGCAGGTCCTCCGGGAAGGATGTCCATGATGAGTCCGTGGAGGAGAACGACCAGAGCCTAGCGGCTGCTTCCTCACCGACCGACCGCTGGATGTTAAAGGTGTTTCCGGTCCTGCGGGAGGAACAGGTGTCAGCCGCGCTCTCCAACCTGACTGGGACAGCAGGGTGTCCACTGGGTCTCTGGTCTTCTGGTGCTTTTTCCCCCCACTTCTTCTTCGTCTCTGAGCCATGTTGTGGACGCGGTGGCTCGTCCTGCTGCTCTGGTGGGGGGCCACCTGCGCAGAGCAGCAGGCGGAAGAGAGGGAAGGTCAGCGGGCGGAGGTCAGGGCCGACCCCCGCAGGCAGCGCTCCCCTCCGCCGGTGGAGCCGCTGGACTTTGGGTTTGTTCCCGCAGCGGTTTATAATACCCACGCTTACTACGAGCCGGGGACCATCGGAATCCTTTTCCACATGGTCCACGCGTTTCTATACGTGGTTCAACCAAACTCTTTCCCCAAAGGTGAGATTAAAATATTATCACTCCATCTGCTCCTCCATTCTCACAATGCAGGCTGACTTCTTATCATTAATAGACTTCATTCAGGTATTATGAAGTCTAAATAAACAGACAGTAGCTTTATTACTAGATAGAATTGACTTTAAAAAAAATGTTTTTTTTTCCTAGTTTAATTTTTCCACCACAAAGTTTTTATCAATGCAAAAAAGAGAAGGAAATAATTAAAGAAAGAAAGAGAGAAAGACAGAAAATAAGAAATGAAGCACTTATCTGCATAAAATAACAACAGAACTAAAATCTCTGACATAATCAAGTTGGCGATTTGAACTGAAGGGCCAAAGCCAAACTGAGTGTTATAAGGTGGTAATGAAGTAAAATTTGATCGTTAAGTTATAAATCTGGCTGGTTTCCAGTGTATTTGTATTAAAGCATGGGGAAAAGTCCAAAGAGTGTGCAGGGCAAAAAAAAAAAAAAACATATTTTTTTAATATCAAAATATATAAAAAATATTTAGATATGCTATAATTCATAGTAGTATGGTTATTTATTTACTCTTTTAATTGTGACACTTTGAAACCTCCATACATGTAAAGTTCATGGTAGTTTACATACGGAACTGAATCATCAAAAGATTATTTGTTTTTTAGTGGCATATTTGCTGCGGTAAATTGATCATATTTGAACATTTGGATTTGTGATAAAAGGAGCTGGTGTAGCTGTTATATAAGTCAGTCATTTATGCATTTTATCCTGGACCCATGTGATGGTATGATGGGTCTTTGGAAGAGACTAAGCTGCGTAATGTATGGTGTTTGCAGATTTTCCTGGTTAAAAATTATTTTAAAAAAGTTGCTAAAACATACCTCAAAGACCATTGTGATATATAAAAGAGCAAAGTCCAAAAACGAGCCGAGTCCTAAAACAAACCACAGTGACAGGATGTATTTGCACAGTATACAGATCTTCCTCGGCCAGGTCAGTTCAAAAGTCACCGCTCATGAGGTAAAATACGTGGAATTACAAAAATCCATTTGCTTAATGGAAGCACATCTCACAAATGTTTGCGGTAGGATGAGGTGGATCTTTAGTCATATAAAAATAGACGTATTTTGCAAAGCTGCAAAGGAAACTCATTGCACGAGTCACGTGATCAACAGGTGGATGTTACTACTAGTGGAAACAACAAACAAGAAGGAAGCAGTAGGAGGATGATAGTTTGCTTTGTTTTTTTGTTTTTTTCAGACAATTTGCAGCTGGCTCCTCCAGAGCTCTCACACCATCACACAGTTGATAGAAGTCGCGTCATTCCAATGTGTTAAAGCCATAACTCTCTGTAAAATCAGAGAATATCATCCCTAAAACGTAGCCATTCCCAGGAATGAGGGGTTTGTCACACAAACATCTCCTCTAATGACTGATAGACAATGAGTGCTGATGCCAAGCCTGAGTTATGTTTAGGCCTGTTACAATAAACAATTATTCAATTCATCACATCATAAATTAAAACTAGCTCAATCATTTCCATTTGACGATTTATTGTTTTTCTCTTTTCCAAAAACTGAATGACAAAAGTTTTCAATTTGATGCTTTGGTCTCAACAAGCCCCGTTGCTGTAGGACATTTGTTTACAAAGAGTTATTATTCATTTTTGTTGTTGTTGTTGTTTTGGTTGTCTCGTTAATTTATTTGGGGATATGTTACAGTTTTAAATGCTCATTAGAAGTCAGAGTTTATTGATCTTTGCAAAGGTGTTCTTGCATTACTATGCCATTACATGTTTTCAGTGTTATTATTTATCATAAAAACTTTTGGGACAATTGGTTTTTGTTACAGGCCTAATTATGACTATTATTAATGGTTATTAATGGCTTTTAAAGTGAACAAACTTAATCACATGTGATTTTTATTGAATTTCTCGTTTAACGAAAAACTCCCCAGCTGGCAAAGGATTTTTTTCAACCTCAGTAGAATTTAGACAAAGATTTGTCCTGGTAACACAGCTGCCATCACAGTCCATAAGTGAACACTCCCTGGTTTGACCGGTGATCAGGTTTCAGACCTCTCGGCCTTTCTCTCTGTGTTCAGAGTTCTAACAATTGAACGCAGTTTGTTTTGCGCGTAAAACTACAAGAGGTCACGTTGGAGGATGGCACCGGGCAATTGGATTGAAGGTTTTAAGTTGCTGCCATTTTGGTGTCCAGTGTTATAGACGCTGGCTCGGTAAGCAATTAGCAAAATCAGTGCTTAAAGGAGGCTTTCTCTGTCACCTGCATCACCACGTAATACCTTAATCCGCCGGGCCATATGCTGCCACTGCTGCGGACTCTCCAGCGTGACTCACCGTCCCCACACACACACAAATACACGGACCACCTGGAGGGGCACGTCAACGCCCGCATTACATATCAGAAGCATGTAAAGTTATGGCGAACGCACACAGGCGGACTCTGAGGTGTTTGGAGCTGCTTAAGGAGTGCAGCAGATCAGTCTCACCTGCTTGCTACCTGAACTGGCAAACTCTCTGAGCCATTAACAAGTAAACAAGCTCACCTGCAGCACAAACAGGACCACATTATTAGGAGCTAGAAGCTAGTGGTGTGTGTCAGCAAATCAGGGAAACAAAGGATGAGGACGAGGGTGGACAATATGGACTTCAAGTCTCAGCAGGATATTTTGTTGTGGTATTGTGATAACACTAAAAGTGACAATAAGAACTATTTATTACTTATTTTTAGGTGTCTGTGACTGAGTGACAGTAATCATAGACCAACACACACTTAAAAAACATTTCTATTTGCAACATTCATCTTTAGCACAGCATGAAGAAGTGTCATTTTTTACCACTGAACTGCTCACAGTAAGTGCATTTAATCATATTTTTATATTTCTTGACACTCAATGAACAAACAGTGGAGAAAATTAGAGATGCAAGTTTTCAGTGTCCAGCGATTTGATTCCAATTTTTAGGGTCATGATTTGATTCAGTGACCAATTTTACTATTTAAATAATCTGGAGATTCTATTGAAGTTATGTAACTGACAAGAGGAAAGTTCTGTTTGAACAAATAGAAAATTTATTTCAAACATTTCCATGAGGTTCCATACAGTGTCAAATTCCTTCAGATTATATTTAAACAAGGAGTTTGTGTATAAAATGTAGCATAAATTACCAGTCTGAACAGTTCCAGGTGTCAGTCAATAAACGAGAACAAAACCAGAGAAAAGCCAGAGAAAAACTTCCTTCTGAAATATTGCTCAAGATTATGTTAACAATATCAATACATATGAAGTTGAAATGTGAACATGAAACACTAATAAGGTTTAGAAGACTGTGTAAGAACAATGCCACGTTCTCTTGTCCTATTAGACTGAAACAGTTAAAGCATATTTTAATCAAGAGAACAACTTCAGAAATTGAAAATTATTTTTAGCTCAAGACTTTTTATCTTTGAAATTATTGATTTTTTCGCCATTGTCAACATATCAACGAGTTTTACTGTAAACGAGACAATATGGCAGACTTCTAGTGCATAGTTTGTTCACGTTGTCCTCCTCGAGTTGTTCAAACTTTGTTTTTTTTTTTTTTTTTTTTTGAGGCAAAAAAATGTGACTCTTGAAAATGTGTAATTGAAAGAATAATTTCAGAATTGTAGATTGTTTCCTTACATAATTCAGCATCACTAGGTTAGGATTTTACATATGAAAAGTGAGAAGTTCAAAATGTACAGTAATTTGGTTTTAATGCCTTGAAGTAGCTCAGGGATACTGTAGGCCAGTGGTGCCCAAAGTCGGTCCTCGAGGGCCGGGATCCTGCATGTTTTAGTTCTCTCTCTGGTGGTGAGCACAAGTAAAGTGATGAGCACTATCTTGTCTTGAACTACTTTGCTGTGAAAACCAGTGGTTCCCATGGAAATATGAGAAGAAACATGAGAAAATAGCCATTGAAAAGTTGTACAAGTTGATCAAATAAGCTTACCAACCCTGACTGTTTCCATCCATCCATCCATCCATCCATCCGGATCTCTGTCAGGATTTATGGATTTACAATCTATGAATTTATCTGCCAAAAATTCACAGTGAACTTTAGTATTTAGAAAATTGTGTAATCGAGTTTTGATATGAAATATGGAACAGGGATGGTTTCTGCTACTTACACAGGAAGTGAGTGAGTTTTGGGTGTTTTGTTATCCCAAAGAACACAGGAAAAGCTCAGTCAAACTGATGTTAAGAGCAAAGAAAGTCAAGTCAATACAAACCCCCCCCCAAAAAAACAAGCATGCTAGGAGTTCTTCAAAAATATTCTCTTTGTTCTTGCTTCACACCTAAATATAAAATAAATCTTGGTGAAGGTTCATTTCACCGCGAGGAGGAATGTCAGCCTCTTTCTCTTAGAGGCGAGTCGGTTTCTTATCTCTTAGATGCACACAGGCTGGATTAGGGGATTAGCATCCACTGGGCTAATGCTAACAGTGGGCTGATACACCACTGTTACAGATGGCACAATGACACACACACACACACACACACATGGCTGGGCACACAGAAAGTGGGTCATACGCTGGTGTTGGTCCGTTTCACTTAATTACTGTGATTAGTTTTGGACATGTTTATCAGGAAGAACTTAAAAAGTTGACAAAGTTTACTGTTCACACTTATTGAACAAAGATGAGGACTTCTTATATAATGAGCTTGTTTGCCTCTTTGCTGCTCATACATTCAGTTTGTTCTCTTTTAGAATTTCATTCGCACTTAAAGTCAATGAATTAGCATCGTGGAATATATTACTCATCACGTTGGTTCTGCTTCAGCTCACAGTGGGTGTTGGAAATGTACTCTCCTCCCACAACCTTAAAACGTTGTAGCTCATAGAACATTTCTGCTGGTAAAACAAATCATGAAATGTGAGAGTCAATTAACTCAAGAAAAACATAGCTGAGCTTCTTTTCAGTCTCATCCCGATTCAACGTCCAGATAAGATTGTATCTCTGGCAGAAATTGGGCAG